GAAGGAGAGTCTTCATATATAAATTATTATAGAATGGAGAGAGTAATAAGTAGCAAAACCTTAATTATTCGTCCGGCATGTGTTTTTCATTCGCCTGGAAGGTGAGCCGTACGTGAAAGGGAATTTGAACACACGATAGAAGCATGCTGCATGGACACTGCTTCAGCGGTTCAGAAGTCAGCAAACGGCGACATTGGACGGTGAAAGGCTACAGCGGCTGGCTTGATTTTGGTACGTCGTTGTTAACAACTTCTTGAGGCCCAAGTGTTGATCTGCTCCACCAGTTTTCTTCGTTAACAATTGCAGTCTCTAGGAACACGCTTTCAGGAAATTAAACGGACTAGTAGATCTGCTGTCCTTGTTCACTGTCCATCTCAGTTTTTGGCAACGAAAACTTTCGGTGCTTCAAAACGTGTCGATGACACACGAGATTTGGTCAATTTTTACAAAAAAAAAAATTAGCATCAATAACAAACTGAGTTGCCTTGAAAAATGCTACCTTTCTTGAGTCTATCATGCATTGAAAAAACAATACCAGCTTTGAAAAAAAACGGTGTTTTGGCTATTTAAAACATGAAAAATCTGGTGTATATAATGCTTACTTCAAAAAAGTAAAGAAACGCTATGCACATATTATCATGAAAAATACTGTTATAAGACTTCAATTTATTAGATGCTATAAGCATATTTTTAGGATTGATCAATAGTTAAGGGGTCTTTGTTTTGTGCGCGCAATTATTAGCTCGTGTTTCCTTCAGCTTTTGTTGGTGTGCTTTTTCAAGACTTGCTTATGTGTGCTAGTTTGCATGAATTTGTTTAATAATTGGCTGTAGCTCGTTGAGCAAAGTTCTAGATTTTATTCTATTATTTTAAAAATAAACATATTTTAATTTTAAGCTGATACTCATAATATTAGAAATTCGATCGAATCTCACCTTAAATGTCAACTTTATGACCGGAGAAAGTAACATATACATGTGGAGCTACATATCGGCAAGCATGCCATTTCGGATACAAGATGAGAGAAGTGCTATCTGCTAAACCAGATTCTAAGATATGAAAACATAAAACATACAAGCATACAGAGACTGAAGATCTATATGCGTAAATATATTTTCTCATAGATGGTTCTTGATTCGCCTAAAAATCCAATAATTACACATGTCCTTTATAGCATGCGGAGCAAAAAACCGCCCGTAAACGCCTTGTGCGACAAATCTTGCACGTATGTGATATAAGTATTGCCACATCTTTTATCCTTACCCTGAGTTAGACATATACTTTAGAGATAAGATGATAAAGAAACAATATTATGCCTTGGTGCAGAACAATACGCATTGAACAATCGAGAGTATCATTTGAGGAACTTTGTTTTAATTGCAAAATTCTTAAAAACCTCCGGAAGGAAAGTTGAACAAAAGAGTAAGTGATTGGTGCTCTACGATCCGTTCTATCTTTTAACCACCCAAGATAAGATAAGGAGAAGCTAAAAGCCCCATATGGAATAAAGTAATAAAGGTGAAAATACTATTGCCAACTTATTCAAACTCTAGGTAGAAGGATATGTTATAAAACATGGTGGTGTTGACCAACAACCTAAGTTTTATCTTTCCTAGGGGATGAGCAAAGGTTTAGCTTGGGGGTGTTCTTAACAGTCGTTAAGTACAATTTCAACCATGACTTATCATAATAATTAAAGGGAGAACTAACATTTCTTACACGTATATCAATAATAAATAATGTAGTTCCACTGTACTTGGAGAATTAACTTGTATGCGGATGTTATACACCAAAGTGAAAGAGAAATGAGCCAACATGCAAAGAAACAAACCTCCGGCAAATCACCTGCAAGCACACGGATTGAGGCTACCACAAGTCAGCTCAAACAGAACTAAAGTGGGGCCAAACCTATAACACCCTGAAAATTTCAGTTTTGAAATACGAAGCTAAAAATTGATAATAACCAAAAATCTTTTCAAACTTTCTTGCATGCTGGAATTTATTGGGTTTTATTTCCCGTTTTCTTGTTATGCATGGGTGAAAGGACGGACGTCTGAGAATATGCTTGTACTTTGATTTAAGATATTATTTATTCAAAGAACCATGGTTATGAAATATGTTAATATTGCAAGTACCAATTATTTTCCTCAAAACCCTTCTCTATGTATTAAAACCTCATTGATGTATTTGTTTTATACATAAGGACATATATTACAGTTTTGGATGAAAACCCTCTAAGGGATAGTTCATTAAAACAAATACTATTTTAGAAAGGAAATATAATTTTGATTATTTTCTAAGAATCCTTAAAAAGGAATAAGTCCTTTGGAAAATAACTTGGAGATGACATCTAGTAGAAAATTATTTGTCAAAATCTTATTTGCAAAGTGAATCCCTAAAAAGGCTATTTTAAAAGAGAAGGTTCTCTCATATAAAGTCTTGTTTCCCTCTTCGAGAGGCTTAGCCTGGCTCACATAATAAAATTTGTTAGGGGTAATTGTATCACTGCCCCCACTTTCGAAGCCAATTACTATTTTACCCTCATTTTTTAGGGCTTGCAGTTTTACTCCCACTTTTTGAATCTGAATCAGCCGTGTACCCCTACTTCTATCTAACAGCCAGTTTTAACGGTGTTAATTGTAGAAAAAAGGACATTTATACCCTTGGTGTTTATCGCATTTTTGCCCCCATTTTTTTCCAGCTTTGTGTGATTTTGTCTCTATTTTGTGATTTCAGCTTATGTGACGAGCATTTCAACCAAATATGAGCATCTACTAGGCAATTACAAAATTTGACCAAAATATGAATAAAATTTCGACAGCATTTACAAAATTTGAACAACAAGTAGCCGCCGGCAGGCCCTTGACGCGGCTGTCCGCCAGCACTCGACGCGGCCGCCACCCAGCCCTCAATGTGGCCGCCGTCACCTCGCGTGCGCCCGTAGCCACCGCCGCCGCCACCGCACGCGCGCGCGGCCCCAGCCACCTCGTCGCCAGCGGCCGCCGCTGCCGTCTCCGTGCGCGCCCGCGGCCGCCGCTACCGCCGTCACCACCCAGCCCTCGACACGGCCATCGTTGCCTTGTGTGCGCCCGCGGCCGCCGCCGCCGCCTCCACACGAGCCCATGGCCGCCGCCGCCGCCTCCGCACGCGCTCGCGGCGGTCGCCGCTGTCTCCGCGTGCACCCGTGGCTGTCGCCGCCGCCGTCGCCACCCAGCCCTCGACGCGGCCGCCGTCGCCTTGCGTGCGCGCGCAGCCGCCACTGCCGCCTTGCCCGCGGCCGCCGCTGCCGCCCGCACCCACGGCCGCCGTCGCCGCCTCGCCCGTGGCCGCCGCCGCTGCCTCCGCGCACAAAACTGACGCACAAAACCTTCTCGCCCGCACGAAACACACTCAGGCCTTATCCATTCCCTCAGGGGTAGAAAGGTAACATATTTCCTTTTGTATTTCCTTAACACAAAACGTGGGATCCACCAAACGGCTGTCACAAGTGAGGTAGACGGCTGGTTCAGATTCAAAAAGTGGGGGTAAAACTGCAAACCCTAAAAAGTGAGGGTAAAACAACAATTGGCTTCGAAAGAGGGGGCAATGATGCAATTATCCCAATTTGTTATTATTTGTGTGTGTTTAGTTTGGTGCCAAGATCTCGATTCAATCCACTCTCCCCTAAAACTGTCCTTTGTTCGACGTCCTTCCCTGTCCCCTACCCACTCTGTCTATTTGGTTAAGCGCTTTGGTGCTAATCCAATCAAAGACCAGAAGCTCTCTCCTTCTGTCACAATGTGATCTCTCTCTCTCTCTCTCTCAAACTCTTGGAATCCTACGGTTAAATTGAAACCGCTCTATCGATTTGATTTCGATAATTCCCTCAAAAAATCTAAAATCATTCGACGGATTTATTTATCATACGTCGACTCAAATATCTCCAAATTTATCCTTACCTTGAGACCCTACCCGGTCGAATGGATTTGTATGCCATATGCATTCCCAACGGGGGATCCTAATGGACAATCAATCGCCTGGAAATGGGGGTAGCGATCGATCCCCTTTCCTCTCCCTCTCTCTACCTGGTTTCCTTTTTTGACACCACATTACTTTTCTATTTTAGTAAGTTTATATGCACCTAAAGTTTATACACCTCAAGTTTACACATCTAAAGTTTAGAGACCCAAAGTTTATAAGTTAAAAGTTTATATATCCGATTCAAATTTGAATTTGAATTCAAATTTTTTATACATATAGTATTTCTATACATCTAAAGTTTATACACTTAAAGTTTACAGACCCAAAGTTTATAAGTCAAAAGTTTACATACCGGTTTCAAATTTGAATTATATCTGATTCAAATTTGAATTTGAATTCAAATATTTTCTATATATAGTATTTTTTATGCATCTAAAGTTTATAGACTTAAAGTTTATAAGTCAAAAGTTTACATACCCGATTCAAATTTGAATTTGAATTATATCTGATTCAAATTTGAATTTGAATTCAAATATTTTCTATATATAGTATTTCTATACATCTAAAGTTTATACACTTAAAGTTCATAGACCCAAAGTTTATAAGCCAAAAGTTTACATAGCCGATTCAAATTTGAATATATATAGTATTTCTATACATAAATTTTTCTAACTTTTTATTTTTCTAAAAAAAATTTTGTAGTGTATCGAGTATAGGGGAGGGGGCGGACGGGTGATCGCTGGGCGGACGGGGGGCGATCACCCGACTATAAGCATTTCCGGTTCCCAACACCCCTCTGTGTTACCGTCGTTCATTCATTCAAGCAATCACAATGACTACCGTTGAAATTGTCTATCGGACGTCAACCCCAAATCCCTAGTCGAGGGCGCGGTGTATCCATCCAAGCAAAATGCTCGAGAACCCTAAGCGTGACCCTTGCTTATCCAAATACCAAGTTAAATCCAAAAGCCCATATTTAACAGTCCATCTACAAGTGTCAATTTAAATTCCAATTTCCAAATTCCAAACTCCCTTGTAAATTTACAAAATTCCTCGAAAAGATACAAACGGTCCAGCAGTACAAGTTCAAACAAATCATTGTCCGATTATACAGTCCATTGTACAGTCCAATTATACGGAGCCAAATCAAATTACAACTCCCTAGCAAATTACAAAACTTCCTAGCAAAACATCCAAGTCTCCTATTACACTTGATCCATTCTTTTCTCTGCCAACCCAGCCCATGCCTCCCTCTCCCTTAGGCAGCCTACCATAAGTCTACTTTGCCTCCCTCAGCCGACGCAGCATGAATGCACATAAGGTGTTCGATGAAATGCCTGCAAGCCATCACACATATTTGAGTCAAATTGTTGCTGCCATCAAATAGCTGGGTCCCCTCCTCAACAACATCCCCTGCACCCATGCTCCCAATCCACCAAATGCATCCCCAAAACACAGGTAACATGAGTAGAGACCACACCGAATGAGAAGAGCCAAGTTCACAGAGCCACACTTACCTTGTCCTGTGGCGATGTCGACACGACCGCCACAAACCTATAAAACCGCCGCCAAAGCCCAGCACCACCGCGCCTCTCCATTTCCGTCTTCCTCTCCTGCACCTGCTCTGCCACTGTCGCCTCATTCCCAGCGCATTCGCAGCCGCTTCGCTGCTTGCTCCGCCGCGGCTGGCCACGAGCCGAGCCTCCGTTGGGCAAGGGGTTGAGGTTGGCCGCCGCGTCGTCCCGTGAACTCCCTTGCACGAACAAATGAACGAACATCAGAACGATCGAACTGTGAACTTTGGAACGTACTCAAACAACAAAAGCTTGCTTTCGAACTGGAACCGAGGACGTAATCAAACTAAAAATCGAACTAAAACTGAAAACGAACCTCTATGGACGTGATCGAGCACTTGGCGCGCGAGGACGAACCGTGAGCCGAGCAGTACCTCGACGCCCGTCGACCACGCTCGGTGTGCCGCTACCCGACTGCCGCGAGGTGAGCACCTTCCCCCCTTCCTCCCCTTGCTCTCCTTCCTCCCAGCCATTCTTCTCCTTGCTGTGCCGATGCCGCCGTCGAGCGCACCGTCGCATCCTCCTCACGCGGCCGACGCCTAGCTGGCCCGCGCGCCGACCTCTACCTCCATCGCCTTTTCCCTCGAGCCAAGGCTGCCCTCCCCCTCTCCCTGTCCACGCCTGGCCACCGCGCAGCCGCGCCTGGTTGTCGACCGCGCCTCCCCGACACCCCCACAGCCGCGTTGCACCGACGAGTCAATCGCCGCCTTGTCATCACCCAAAACATCTTCCCCCATCCACCGACGTCACAGCCACCACGACCGCCGCCTTGCCGTCTCCCTCCTCTTTCCCCACCGCCACCAGCCCCACGCGAACTCCGCCGCCCCCACCGGGTCACCACCGACACTCCCACCCCCACCCCCACCCCCGCCGCCCGACTCCTCCTTCCACCATTGCCTGCCCCTCCCCACAGCAACCTCCCTCCTCTTCTCCTTCGCGCTGCCACAAAACCGTGACTCTAAACCAAACTCTTAAAATCGGTGCAATTTGACTCTCTTGACGGTTTGCTGACGTGGAGGCTACGTGGCGGTATTAACTAGGTCTCCTTTACACGTTGTGTTTAGGTGACATGTAGAATTAAAAAAAAATGTGTAGGACCCAATTATCATTGATACATAAAAGAAATTGTGGGACCCACGTGTCCCTTCTCTCTCTCCCCTCCCTCGAGTTCCTTCTCCCTCCTCGCCGCTCCCTCCCTCTCCCGCGTCGGGCGGAGACGGCGGTGAGCGGCGAGGGCGCGGACATGGCGTGGTGGCCTGCGAGCGGCGGAGGCGCGGGATGAGCTCCACCGCCTCCTCGCTGGCCAAGATCGAGTCGGCGGTCAACACGTAGGAGCTCAGCGACGTGCTATTCGTCTCCGCTGCAGGTGTCGTCGCGACGATTGACTGACGCGCCACACGACGAATGACGCCTCACGCTTTTTGGAGTACTCGAGATCGAACAAGCGATGCGGTGGTGGTGTGATTTCATTTCACGGGACAACGAGAGAGAGGGGAGGGAGCATATGGATTGGGAGCAGCTGCCGATGGAAATACTACCGAGGTGGTGCAAGGCAGGGGTAACAGGTTAATAGCTGCTGATGGGAATACTGCTCGGACTAGATGTAACTGATCCTGTGTGCCTGCGTTCACCACCACATCGCATGCAACTGCGTCGTCCACAACGGCGGCGTCAGTAGAGAGGGAGGACGTCAGGACGAAGGGGCGGCGCAGGCGGCGTGCCCCACGCACAGAGGCGGTCCTCGAGGTGTGAGCAAAGTGGATAGGCCTCAGGAGCGGCGCAGAGGCGAGCGACCCCGGCCGGGCGACGCGACGCCCCATGTGGTGAGCTATGGCATGGCCGCCTCGCGCGTCCCGATCCGCGGTGGTGGTGGTGCTCCGTGCTCGGCAGGGGCCCGGCCATCTGCTGCCGCTCTTGCGCCGCCTAGTTTTGCGGCGGCAGGGCGGGCGACCCCGCGTGCTTGCGACCCTCCCCAGCTCCTTCACCCGCCGATGCATTGCTACTGTCCGCGCCGTCCTGCGGAGGAAGAGGGTGGCGGAGGTCAAGCGCCACGTAGAAGGGTCGACGTGGGGAGGAAAGCGGCGGCGGCGACAGTGGAGTACGTCATCGACATCGATCCCGCAACGTGTGCCTCACGCTGTCGCCGCCTAAACGCCACGTCAACGCTACGTGGAAAGAAAGCCGAGTGAATAATGCCACGTAGGCACCACGTCAGCGAAACCGTCCTCCAAAACCGCTGATGGAGTCAAATTGCACCGGTTTTAAGAGTTAGGGGTCGAGATATCCAGTTTTGTGGTTTAGGGCTACGGATTAGATTTCGATCACTTTTGACTTTTGAGGGTCACTAGGTGAACTTATTCCTTTTAAGGGATAAAAACAGGTAAACAAAATTTTTGGCCCAAAAAGCCGACCTCGTCGGCTGAGGTGTGAGTTATCGTCTGTGCCGCGGGTCCAGATCAACGAACACTCGTGGGCCGTAGGCGGAGGCGCAAGTGTGTTGTGGGTAATGGGCCAAACCAGCCCATCTAGCCTTGTCATCAACAGCATAAACAAAAGAAAAGAGAGGAACTAGGGTTCCTTTCCTTCCCCCAACGCCGCCTCTTTGGAGCGACCTCCTGTCGACGCCGCGTCGGCCTCGCCCCCATCCCCATAGCCATACCAGGCCTCAATCTTCCTCTCCAATCTCCTTGTGGCTAGTTCGGACAGCAGCAGCAGCGTGGGTGGTGCCGCTGCGATTCCGGAGGAGGGGGCGGTAGTTCGGAGGCGGCGCGATGAGGTTGGAGAAGTGCTGGTTCTGCTCGTCCACCGTCTACCCCGGCCACGGCATCCAGTTCGTCCGGAACGACGCCAAGGTTCGCGCTGTCCTCCTCCTCATCCTGTGTCTCTTCTTCGCATCCTGTAGGTTATGTCCCCGTTTGGGGATGTGGATGGAGAAGCGCGCCTTTCCGTGCGCCATGTTAAGGGGAAATAAAATTAGAACCTTTTTGGGGGGGAAGTCACTGAATTCGCACACTGCACTCATCAATAAATTTAGATAGCCAGGAATTTAGATATCACGGTTGTAGTTTTTACAAAGTTTTATGTGTTTGGTGCTACTTTCCTGCATTTTGTTTCAAAAAAAGGTGGTACTATAGGCAGGATAGCTTAATTTATTACCTCCATCCTTGTACATGGCAGGAAAACAATATACAATTAACAACTAGAGACACAGATTATATATACCCTCGGTCCCAAAATATAAAGGATTTTGGGTGATTCATAGACCTAGGATATGTCACCTCCACCAAAATCCCTTATATTTTGGGACAGAGGGAGTATGTAATCTTATCTAGTGCTGCCAGTTCTCCATGTCATTATCTTGGATCAGTAAGGGCTAGGCGCTACAGGGATGGCAGGGCTGGCTTCTAGGTTCAACCTGACTAGTGATTCTAAGCAATTAGAGATCATATTACATAAAAGTTAGACAATGAAATACTAAATAGCAGCACAAGAGCTCCCAAGGATATTTAGGTGCCTAATTGACCATCTAATGCCTAATCAGGGTGGCTAGGCACCTAGCACCTAAATAGGTGCCTAGGCAGATCTTTAGGGCTGGCTTTTACAACACTGATTATTATCGTTGAAACTACACAAATCAAACAAGAAAGTCATATTGGCTGGCAAGGTTTCAGCAATAGAAGCAAAAAAGAGAGGAACATTAGATTTTTTATGGCTTGGGATCAATGTAATGTCTGCGCTCTTGGTTTTGAGAAGAGGAAGAGGTAGATGGCTGATTTTTGGAACCAAAAAGATAGTTATGTAACTATCTTATTTATTTTCTTTGTTCCCCAAACACCTCAAAATTTTTATTGCCACAGCATTTTAAACCCAGATACCTCTAAAGTTTTATTGGCATATCATACAAACAAATCATGGTACTCCTAGAAATCTATTGTACTTCCAAATAGGTTGAGGTACTTTGTCATATTTCTGCCAGTCTATTGTTGTTTTGTAATAACAGTGATTTAGTGGAGATATATAATCATTAAACTTTTTTTTAGTTTGATGTCTATGTTTCTCAGTCGTTTTCCATTCTGTTTTATGGTTGGAGTAGTGGTGGATGCTAAAAGCTGAGCCCTTTTTGGATAACAATGAGGCTTTCATTCAACATAAGTCGCTAGAACATATGAATCTTTATACGCCATATATAGTAAGAGTAATTAAACTAATTACATCAATCATCAAAGAGAGGTGGCTAACTACCTTTGCTGGTATTCATCCCATTAGTTTGTTATATCTGATGCTCTGCCCTATCAATGCTGTTATTTGTGATAAGTTGTGCAAAAGTTTGTTACTGCCTTTCTGGTATACTACCAAACATAACTAGTTTAGCTTTCTCTGATTAAAAGTCTTCAGAATAACACAGATGTTCTCAATTTGACCTTTTTGGAGTAATATCTTGCTGTTTTGTGCATTCCTTTACATTTTTTCAATGCTGTATAGCCATGCCAATACCTTTGTATTGTCTTCTTAAATAACATTTTATGTTGAATGCCATTCACGTTTACGTTTTAGATTTTATTGTGCTGGATATTGTTGGCACATTTAGTTACATTTATTTCTGTTCGCAGATCTTTCGCTTTTGCCGGTCAAAATGTCATAAAAATTTCAAGATGAAGAGGAATCCTCGTAAGGTTAAATGGACAAAAGCGTACAGGTGCTTGCATGGGAAGGACATGACACAGGTATTTGGTTGCTATTGTTTGATATTCTTTCAGTGGTAAGTGGCAACACATTTTCCACTATGTGAACCACGAGCTGAATTGTTTGATGATATCAATCAGGACTCCACCTTTGAGTTTGAGAGGAAAAGGAACAGGCCAGAGCGCTATGACCGGAATGTCACTGAGCAAACACTTAAGGCTATCTCTCTTATTACAAAGATTAGACATGAACGGCAGAAGAAACATATTACAGAGAGGTTGGCATCTGAATTTTTATTCAGTATCTGTTTATTCACGAAATTATCTTTGCCTGATATGAACTGAATTTTTAACAGGCAAAAACAGGGTAAGACAAAGCAACGGGAGAGGGATGCTAAGGAGTTGGAACAGGATATTCAAATGCTTCCAAAGAAGGTTACCCTATCAACACAAAAAACAAAAGTCGTGGTTAAAGTTTCCCAGCAGCAGACAGAAGAGAATCTTATGGAAGAGTAATGAAATGGAATCAAGTTTTGCATGTTGTTATGTAGGACTGTGTTTCATCAAATCGTTACTATGAACGGTGTATTTGACTGGGTACCAGCAAAGTTTTGCACCGACCGTCTGGTTTGTGACTTCCAGCTATCTTATAGTATCAATAGTATTGATGGCTTTGTGAACTGTTAAAAGGATGTCTATTTTTAAGATTAAATTGCATATTGCACAACCTTAATCGTAATTTATTCTACGAATGCTAGATTTTTGCCATCTATTTAGCATAATATTCCTATTCTTCCAAGACAAGATCATGTGATTTGTTTAGGTTTTGGTTTCTGGAAATCCAAATTCAGAGGCTGAAATGCTTCTGTCGGTGCCATGTACTCATGTATAGTCAGGTAGTACTTAGCCAAAGTAATTATGGACAAGCGGCCACTTATGCAAGTTTTGTACTTCTTATTAGCCCTAGACAGGGTTTGTACAATGCTAATTAATAATGTCTACCCGTATTCTCTATCGTCGAAAATACTTGGTTTGATTCATCGATGTGGCTTTGACCATAATGTTATATTTGAATAAATTTATAAAATCTTATAATTTCATATGATTATAAAATTACTTATCAAGGCAAATCTACAAAGACCATATTTTGAAAGGCAAATCTTAAAAGTCACTGATAGTCAAATGTTTCAAAAGTTTAGTTCAGATATCGTCTAGAATGTCATGTAATACTTATTTTACTAAGAGTAAATTTCATAAAACTCTATCTATTATGGTCTAATTTGCACTAAACCATAGGGATTTCGGCATATGGTGCATAACCACAAGTACTATAGTACTAAACTTCCATGACATCCACTATAGGACCTCCACTTTGTTAAATTTTGATATAAGAGTATGTTAAAATGGTAAGTAGTGTGGTTTATTAAAGTTTAGAAACATAAACATAATACCCAAGGTTATTATGTTTATGTTTAGCACACGAATTTTAGCACATGACGCATAACCTTGAATCATAATAGGCGGGGTTCTATAAAAATTATATGTTTGAAATTTCTTTTTTTTTTGTGTGTGTATTATGATTAGTGCGAAGGTCTCAAATCAAATAAACCCTTGCAATCCTAAAACTCACCCAAAACTATTTTTTCAAATAAAACCCCCCTTATTCCACTTTTTATGTTCGAAAATATTCCTCATAAAACCTCCCATTTTGACCGATATTCTCTCCGTACAAATTTGAACTTCATTTCACCCATCAAATTTTCAATCAAATATCTCTCCTCTGAATGCCTAGGATTTCTGAAAATTTTGGGTATTAGCTTTTGACCAAATATCTCATGTAAATCTTTTCTTTTACACCTCCCATCCAAAATTTAATATATTCACAACTCCAATCTCTTATAAAATATCAACATCTAAGAGAAACACCATCCTTCGAGTTCATACAGTTTCTTTTATTTAAAATTTCAAATTTTTACCCAAACCTCAATTTCAAATCCACCCAAAACTTGTCTCTGAAATTTCCTAAATAATATTAAAAGTTACTGTGCACATGGTCACACCCCTTCATTTTCCTTCTCTCCTGCCTGGGCCAAACGGTTGGCCCAAGCCTCCTCTTCATCCAAGTTCAGCATAGTACTCGCCCTCTCTCTTTCTCTCTCTCTTGTCTCTTCATCCTGAAGGCCTAGCCACATTTGTAGATCAACTAGATTTCTTTCACCTACCTCTTCTGGCGCCTGTGCGCAGCTCCTCAAGCCAGCCCAGCTAGCTACTGGCCCAACTTCCTTTTTTTTCCCACTTGGTTGTCTCCCTCCAAAATAACCTTATTTTAAATCCCTCATCTTGATGTTGAGTTTAATAGCACCTTTGAATTGCAATATCAGGTATAACGCGTCTCTTATCTTACACCTGGTTTCGGTACAGTACAGTTAAAATTACAGTATGTATAGTAGTACAGTGGTTGGAATTTAAACCTGTGGTCGTTGTTTCGTAGAAGTGTCCTTCAAACATTGTTCTCAGTCCTTTTTCACCAGTCCAGATTTGTTGCTGACAGTGCATCTATGATCAGATCAGAGCCTAATGTAATTCAACAAGCTGGTGTGTGTGGATGAACCTACGTGCGGAATAGGCGGGAAATAATCACGCCAGCCGACGGTAGCGGTGCACAGTGAGCACGGCAAGAACAAGTTCTTATCATAAGTTATATTACATTTGTTATCCTTTTATTCAGCAAATTAGCTACAAGTTTATAAGCCCCTATATGACCAGGAGTAAATGAAATAAAGCAAGCTGGAATTGATATCTAATCTACTCTCTCTCTCTCTCTCTCTCTCTTCGGTACGGCGGCTCCAGGGAGGCGAGGTGCACAGCCTCGCCTTCCCGTCGAGCACGAGCACGCACTATGTAGCTTGGAGGAGCTTCCAAGCCATAAAATTTGCTATATGTCCCTTGAATGTGTGAATACATGTTGTGTTGTTAATTGATGCTTCCCAGAGCCTCCTATAGGTTCATGACGCATTCATGATACAAGAAGGGTGGCAAGGGGCGGTGGCCGGTGGGTACCCAACAGGACACACACGTACTGCTACCACCTTGACCCAGAGCATGATGCCAACAAGCGGCAGTGGTTTGAGTACTTGCAGTAGGATGCTAACTCGTGGCTGCATGGCTGCGCTAAGAAGGAGAGGATGGAGTTGTTTGGTGGCAAGAAGGACGGTGTTGCTGCCTCTAGTGCCATCGACTTCAACACATAGGCGTGCGGGGAGGAGCCTGAGGGGCTCATCAATTGCACTTCATGTTGTTATTATGCTTTTTAGGCATGCATATCAATGAAACCCTCGCATTCCACTTTTTATGTCAACTTTGAAATAATGGGTTAGAAACTGTTTCAGAAAACCTGATACTTGGTACCAGTGGTTTTTGAAAAGGAATAATATTTTGCGAAAGTCGCGATATGGGGCATTGCCTATCTGGTGTTGCCTTGAAGAATTTTATCCAATCATCTTACAGTGTGACCACATGGGGTTTGTGGGATACCCTTGGAAAAGTAAATTATTGATTCATGTTTATCTGGTATGCCAGTGGTTGTGGGATAGCGGAGATGAAACGAAGTTTTGTGTTCTGATATTGGCCATCGTGGCACTTGCATCTATTGTGGCGTTTATGGATAGATGTAGGAGCATCCCCGGTATACCTTAAGTAGACGATGGTTTGTCTTGCCTGATGTTTGTCCTGGTCTTGATCAACTATGTGGCATATGCTATTTATGGGTTAGCTTTAGAAAGGCCTTGTCATGAACTTTCAATGCCGGCGGGTGTTGGAGTAAAGTGTGTCATGTGTGTAAAGCGTATAACCTCAGCGGAGTTTAACTAAACTATTTGAACAGTCGTGCCCACAGTTAAGGGCGAATGTGAGGTGATCTCTTAGTGTGGATTTTTTTGCCTATGCTTTATATAAATTAATTTGTGGGATGTGAATCGTTGCTAAAGTTGGTATGTGTGACTGACATAAAACCTGGATGGTTTTAAATGGGCTTGTGTGACTCGTGATTCAGAATGGCATCATAGAGTAGGCTTCCTATGTGGAAGCAAAGTGCTATAGGATATGCATAGCTTTGTTGACAAAAAAATCGAACACACCGGCTGGGAGATCTGCTTAGCTCCTGTGCAGGTACAAAGGTTGATGAGATGCGAGCGTGCCAGTCAGTTTGATCCTGCAACGGACAAGATATGCAAATATAGTAGATCAAATAGCCAATCGGCTAACAAGCCGATGGAGTGGTTCCAGCCGATAGCAGATAATAGCCGATGTCAATACCAGCCGATAGTGATAGGGTTTAAGCAATCGGCTATATGTCCAATGTAGATAATGATATAAAGACAATCGGTTGATGATGATGTAATAAAATAACAATATAATCCAGTATAAACCAATTGGCAGTCAAAAAGTAGGCTAGAGATTATGGTTCTAAGCACAACTTAGTAGATCAAACTTAACTGATGCAGCACTAAGTATGAAAAGAAACACAATATCTTGACAATCAAGCCGTTGATTGATTTTCAGGGTGGTAGATGCCTAGGCTAATCTAATCTAGCAAAGCGATTTAGTCGATACAGGCAGAAACCCTAAAGCGAGAGACAACCGATAGAGCTAAATTGAGATGCTAGGACTAGATTAACATATGAAGCATCTAGGCCCCTGTTGTTAGCTTTGGTAATTAATGACAAGCACTAATTGTGGACTAACCGTTGCTATTGAGATATATTTTAAGATAAATCCACGTCATGTGTGCGCATGGATGACTATCGATGGATTAAAATTGACGGCGCAAAGCAAAGGGAAAGAAGATGGTAAATCTAGTGCTTTAATTTAGAATTGATCGAGGTGTAGGGCGATCAAATTTGCTAGTTTATTTTTAGTTTCGCCGTACTATCAAGGGGGGGTAATGACCTAGCAATGAGATGATTTTAATTGCCACATTAGGTCATTATGTATTTAGACTTGTGCTCACATTTCATCCAACACACACTTGCTATATATATTGGTCACTGTATGCACTGGGTTCGGCCTGACTAGGGGCGGTCAGACCGGCCACATAGTGGCGGTCTAACTGGCGTGCCCTGGCCGGTCTGACCGGCCACAAAACGGCGGTCTGACCGACGGCACATGCGCGATCAGACTGGCCCCCTGGAGGCCGGGATGTGTTGCTCGGGGTGGCCGATATAGAGCCGACGGAGCCGTATTCGGTCTGACCAAGCCGATGGCGGTCTGACCGAGCTGAGGCCGGTCTGACCGGCCACTCAACGGCGGTCTGACCGGCCAGGGCGATGGGGTCCTCTGACAGGGCTACAACGTCTAGTTTTCTAGCCGTTGCAGAGTAGCACGGTCTGACCGGCCACATACCTCCGGTCAGACCAGCAGAGCACAGAGTTGGGGGATTTCGCCACCAACGGCTAGTTTTGATTGGTGGGAGTATAAATACTCCCCCTCCAGCAGCAAGGGGGCTCTCTTGGCACCCAATTCAATTGCATACACCCCTTGCACCTCTCTCACACCCACTTGAGCTTTATGTTCATCCATTTAGTGTGTTAGAGGGTTAATTAGCCAAGAGTCAAGTGCATTTGCTTCCATTCTAGAGCTAGTGTGGCATTTGATTGATCATCTCCACACCGGGTCATTGCTTGTTACTCTTGGAGGTTGCCGCTTCCTAGATGGCTTGTGGAGGAGTTGCCCGGTGACCTCTCCGAGAAGATTGTGGAGGAGGCCCGGCGCCGGTTTGTGAGTGGTTTGGAGTTCACCACCTTCGGAGTGAAGGAAGAACTACCCTAGTAATCGAGGCTTAGGTAGTCCTCTCCGTAGGCCGGCTCCCGCCTTGCCCACCCCTTGACGAAGGGGGTGTGCGGTGGCTTCGTGGTTGAGCGGTGGAGTTAGGCTCGCCTCAACGGGGAGTAGGAAACCGGCGAGTTTCCGAACCTCGGTGAAAAATCTCTTGTCTCCTTGTCTC